CCCCCCCGTCCAATTTACTCCCCGCGGGGACCCCCTCCGTGCAAAAAATTGCTCCCCGACGAACACTAGTTGTGCAGCCAGCGATTCATCGACCACATATAATCTTTTTGAGCATTTGTCGGTGAAAACAGCATTTCGTTCATTGTAGTCAACTCTCTTATCAACGTTTGCGTTGAAAAATTTAAAGTGTAGCATGAAAACGGATTCAAGTTGATTCAAGCTCAAATTTACAGGTACTTTTGAATGTGATTGATCTACAGTTATCACTGCCGCGTGGATCATCAAAAAGTATTGAATTTCAAGGACGTTCTCGTAAAATGTCGCTCATTATGTCAAGCTTTCGTAGGGTGATAAATTTGGGATCAGAATCTTTTTTTTTTCATTCCCTAATTTGCATTGCTCTCTTTAATCACGCATATTTTTTGCTGAAATAACAGATTGTTTAGAGACTGCCGCATGTCTCTCATTTTTCTCCGGAAATTCATCGGTTATTAACTTTTCAAAGTGAAATCATTGACTGAATGTTCAATGAACCAATATATTATGCACTGTTCACAATTTACTATGAACAATGAAGTTTCAGGTGCTTCCCTACTATGAGGACGACTATTTACAAGCGATCGGAGTGAAATTGCATAGTGATCCAACGTTTCGTCTTTTCATAATTCTACCCAAAGATTGCACCACTGTTGAACAATGTGAAGAGCACATAACCGGCAAAAAGTTCTTGCAACTGTTTGCATCAATGTGGTATCACATGGTAAAGTGTGGCACGTGTTTATTTTAAATTTATGAACTTCTCACCATTAGTCCCTTCAAATGCAGTGAAAAGCGTTCGAATAGATAGATGAAAACATAAGGTGAAAAGCTGCTTGATTCACTTATTTACTTCATTCCATCGAAGACTGTGATATTTGACTGATTCAGGTGGACGTTTCATTGCCGAAATTCAATATCAGCGACCAACACAATTTGAATGAAAAACTCGAACGACTGAAAGTGCTAGAGGTGGGCATAGTCGGTAATTATATGTGTATATCTGCTTGCACATGTTCATTCACTGATTGTGATAACTATCTTTTGCGTTCGGCATTTTTAAAAAATCTTAGTCTCTGAGAACACGTCTGCGAAGGAATTTGTGTTGCGTGATCGTGGTTGTTATCGAAGCGCACAGTTCGAAACACCATTAGGGCAATAATTAGTTGAAGTGGAGCGATTATAGATGACAAACAAGGATAAGAAGTTTCCTGGGAAGAAGTGCAAAAATGATGGTACTACTATCACATCACTGCTTTGCGTTCATTCTGTTCGACTGGCTTTCAACAACTCATCTGAAGATTGTAAATGTACAATGGACGAGTGCGACGAAGACGTCGACGACGAACCAATCGAACTAGATGAACTTCCTCCAACAGCTCTGTTTATTGCCGATCGACCCTTTTTATACGTGATCATCAAAAACTCTACACTTCTTTTGATCGGACGTGTTAAACCATAGTTGTTGTTGCTGATACTAGATCATTTGGCATATGCACATGGAGGTTATGAGACGGATAGAATTGAATCCAAAGCCTCTGAGACCACTCAAAAGTACTAGCCGCAAGCAGTGGCAAGTCATCCAGGTCCCTTGGTCAAACTTTCGGGGTTACCCAGTCCGTTTATTTTGTAATCTATTAACAGAAATATTACCGAAGTTCCGATTTTTATAAAATCAATGGTTTTAATTCATTTAATAATGGATGTTCTGATACATTTTTGAACACCATCCAGAGAACTCTTTTAACTTTACAGGTATAATGCCAGAAGGCTGTAAGAAAATGCATGATAGCAGAAGAACGAGAAATCAACAGCTTTACTTTGCATGTTTCTCCAATTTGCAATGTCTTTCTGTTTCCTTTAGTCTCAGTTCAGAGTTTACATATGCTGCAAGATCAAAACAAAAACAATTACAGTTGACAACAATTATTAAAACATTTATTTTAGAAAAAGGAGGAGGGCAAGGGCGCATTGTGTTGGCGGACACTCATTACGTTAACCACTATTCCAATAAAAGATTAACGTTATCTAGCCAGTTGAGTGACTGCTCAGAACCTTGCTAATAACTTTAGAGTGATCCTTTTAAGAAGTTGCAATTGAAATGTTATCGATCATATCAAACATACGCGTCATCACTTCTTGACAAATTTGTTGACCAAAGCCAAGTTTTAATACGATTTCAACACGGTAAACTTTCGAAAGTTCGTAGATGTTTGAGCGGCAACTTTCGAAAGCAGAGTTAAGGGACTCGGACAGTCAAGGGACAGTGAATACTCGGGACTAATACTCTTGGCTCTTAAACGCCTCCCACTCAAATGTAGCTTTTCCATAACCTCCATGTCCAATGAGCCAAATGTCCAGCCATGATTATTGTCACAGTTCTTGCCACAGAGCGGGCAAGAGGACCTACAGAACTGCTCAACTTCCCTCCTCCCTCCCCCCCCCTCAAAAAAAATTC